CCGGCCCCGCGCGCCGCCGCCGCCAGGGTCCTCCCCGAGCGCCTGCGGCCTCCTCGCGTAGACCTGGAGCCCCTTCCCTGGACTTACCGTGTATCGTCGGCCACATTCCTGACGAACAGAGACGTGTTGGGGGGACGCAGGTAGCGGGACATGACGACTGCGTGAGTCTCGGCAGGAGCACTAACGGGCTCAACAAACCGTCCACAGCTCCAGCACTGAATCCTCACACACACTGCCAGAGGGCTCCGCTACGGCAACTGCCTCTTATCGCGAGACTTCACTCCCGCCTCCACTGCCCCACCCCCTACCTGGGCGCCGCGCCGGGACTGGCGACGGTTCTTTCCCGCGAGATCTTTCGGCGTGCGCCTGCGCATGCGGGTGGCTGGGATTCGTGCCGCAGCCAGGGTCTCATTCATTGGCCGCTCGCGCCGCCTCCTCCCTTCCCCCCAGCGCGCGTTTTCTTTCTTTAATGCCTTCTTTCCCGCCCTTACATTCCTTTCCTCCCTGCCCCCTCCACCAAGTCAGAAAGCAGATATAGGTATAGATATAGATATCTTTTTACCCCTATGCCAAACTTTACAGTTATTACTAACTGAACGGAGTTTTAGACATTATAATTCGGAGAGGCCTCCATAGCATACGATTTCCTGCGTGGTCCAAGTTATGCGTGGCTTTTATTAGATCACTGACCAGCAAGAGAAGAATTTACAGCTTCTCCGATTGAGTTGTGAAAGGGGAGTATGTGTGTCCTTGGAAGGAGATGAGCCTGTCTCTCCCTCTCTAGGAGATGGGCCTGTCTCTCCCTCGCTTTCTGCACTCCCCCAGGGCTTTTGTCCAGGCTGCCCCTCGCCCAGACCCTTCATAGCCAATTCCTCCACTGCCCACGCTGTTTCCTTATGCTTTTACGCATTCTCGACCTTTTGGTTGCAACTCAAACTTCACATCTTAGTCTCGGTTGTCAACTACATTGTATTGTATTTCAGTGGTTCTCCAACTTTTCGGTTTCAGAACCCCTTTACAAAGGATTTACATAACTGTGTGACAACTTACGGAAGACTCCAAAGAGCTTTGTTTATGAGGGTTATAGTTATTAATATTTACTGAATTAGAATTTAAAATGATGAAAATTTGGACACAACACACAAGCAGACCTTGCACTACCTTTCAACACATATCATATAGCTCCTGGAAAACTCCATTCTGCATTTGTTAGAGAAAATGGCAAATAGTGTAGTATAGTTTTGACTTTGGAGACCACCTTGAAAGGGTTCTGGGACCCCTCCTAGACCACAGTTAAGGAACCATTCTCTGCTCTTATCAGACTCCATTTTTGGAACTGAAGGGATCACCTTTCAGAATGCCTCTGGCATGCAGCGCACTGCCACGCAGACAGCAGGGACACAAGTCCTGTTTAATTAAATGAGCTTTTAAAAGCAGTATTTTTGTATCCATCAGCTCCAAAGCAGTCAAGTGGTTTGACATGGGTGATGATAGTCTACTAGTATTGTATTCTAAGGAGCTATTGTTTTTCTACATTATGTTTTCCAAGAAGGTTTGGACACAATTTATTAAAACATTTACTGATTACCTAGTATGTCTCAGACATTGTGCTAGATGCTGGAAGTTCAGTGATGTAAAACATGGAGCTTGTTTTCATAGAAAATAAGTACGTAAACAACTAAAATAATTGCAGATTTGTAATATGAGACAGTAATATGATAGGCTTGGGTTTTTAAAAGATTTTTTCCCCTAAAAACAGGTTTGCAGTGTTAACTTCAAGAAGGAATATACCTGCCAAGAACTCCTGATAGTTAATTGAGCTCAGATTCATAGAGTCTAGCAGCCTTGCTGACAGGGTCTCTCACAAAAACGCTGCATTTCCGGGGGGGTGCACAGATTATGCTGCCAAACTTTGTGTACTGCTTTCCTCCCTCTGAGCCGACCCTTATAAAGGAGTTCTTGGAATCTCTTTTGACCAATTGGGAGAGACCTGCTGCATACAATCAGAGCTGTACAAATATATCTTCATTTGCATCTTTATTGACCAATCTATAACCACCAATCAGGATGCTCAAAGCTGACCAATCATGACAGTGCTATTTGCATCAATAAAACTGCATATTTGGATTCCTCATTTGCATAAAAATGAACCAGGGAGGGTACTTTGTAAAAGTACCTTTGTCTCTGGGGAGCGCACTTTCAGTTTCCAAACTGCTTAGAGTTTCTTGCTCGACACTGTCTCAGTTTCCGTGGGCGAACAATCAATTAGAAGCATGCTCTTTAAATTTGTTTAATAAGACATGCCTGGCATTCCCTATACTGTATACCTTCTTACTCTAATATGTAGACTGAGGAGAACTCAGTGTTCCTGTTTACAGATTCCTTACTTGTGGGTTGGAAACTCTGGGGTACACAGAGTTTATTCACCTATGTCTCCCAGTAGCTCTGCTCTGTGGTGAATTCACTGCTAATGCACACATTTTTTAAAATCATACTCCTTAGATGATCTATTCTTGCACATAGATTGCTACCTTGAATCTGTTTAAGGTAAAATCACTTGTTATATCTTAGCCTCATTTCAATGTCTTAAAATAACATCTTCTTCCAGTTGTAAATGGGTTGTTTATTATTAAAATTTTGGAAATAAAGAAAACAAACATCACCTGTGACTCTACCCCTCAGAACTAATTACAGTACTATTAAGACTTTTATATATTTCTATGCATTTATATAATTGTTAAAATTGAATACATACCATTTTATAATGTGTTTTTCCCACCAAACATTTTATCCAGAATATCTTTTCTGGCCATTAATAGTTTTAATAAATGTAATTTTTAATAGCCCCTGTATCAATTATATATTGGGTTCAGTTGCCAGTAACAAAAATCTGAAATAATAATCTTGATTATGATAACTAACACTTATTGAGCATTTAAATACCAAGCACTTTTCTCACCAAGGAACAAGAGAAACAATTCAAGAATTGTAATAGAATGTTGTATGGCTTTAGAGGTCATTTCCCTTGTGGTTTTAGCTTTTTTTTTTTTTTAAGTCACACATATTGATCCTCACATGAAACCTATGAGCTAGGCTACTATTATTCATCTATATTTTATAGATGAGGAAACAGGTTTACAGAGTGGTCTAAACAAATGAGTTTCACTTGTTTATCTATTTTTTAATATAATGATAAATCAGGAATAGGGAGCACAGGACTGATATGGAAGCTTCAGGATATCCGGGCTTCCCTTCTTTCCTTCTTTCCCATTATTCCCAGCTCTGACATCTATACTCAAATTGCCTCATGGTCATAAAATGGCTGCTGGAGCTGTGGGCATTATGTCTACAGCTGAGGGAAAAGGGGGTAGTATAAAGTTTGAAAAGCATATGCTAGGACTTCTGGTCAAGATGGCAGCATCGGCTCCATTGGCTCTCCCGGGTCACCAGCTTGCCAACCACAGATTTTAGGACTTCTCACCTCCATAATGTAGTCAATTCCTTAAAATAAATTCATTTATATAATCAATCAATCAATCAATCAATCAATCACATACACACACCTCCTATTGGTTCTGTTTCTCTGGAAAACCCTAACACATATGGCTACACTACAATTTGTTTACCCATTCACCTCTTGCTGGCTATTTGTTTCAGGTTTGGGGCCATTATAAATGAAATTTCCATGAACATCAGTGCACCAATCTTTTCGTGGATATATGTTTTCAGTTCTTATAAGTAAATAGAAGTGGAATTGCTAGGTCGTACGGTAGGTCCTCCAGAAAACAGATGCCAGGATGGCGTGAGAGATGCAAGACATTTCTCTGGGTTAATGCCCACAAAATATGAAAGGGAAAGGGAGCAGGAGAAGGGAGGGTCTTCAGACCAGATCTGACCCTGTAAACATAGAGAAGGAAGCAAGGAAGATTGGTTAGGAAGAACCTCCTGTTTTAGTACAGCTCTGAGAAAGTTTCACCAGCTCAACGGGAGCCCTGGCATAAAGATCACCCATGGAGGAGTCCTGTGTTGGGCAAGATTGGCCAGGCCCTAGCACAGTCTTTGGTTGGACCTGCCTGGGAAGAGCATGGCCTCAGCTCAGATGCTGCAGTGGATCCTGAAGGCGCTGCAGCTGAGTCTGTAAGCTAACTACACGCCTTGTGGTAGCGTCACTCTTAAAGGGAGATCTAAGGGACACACCTCCGTGGGGGCCAAAGTCCATACTTTGCTTTGTGTAGATCCCCTTATTCTTATACTACTGGGAGTAGTTCTGTTGGGTCTCTCTTTCTAAGGGGAAAACTCAGAAGAGGGAGATCATTGGGATGAACTACTGCCCCTGTAGCTGCAGTTGGTCTCCGGCCACAACTGGCCCTCATCCTCTCCCTCTTCTACTATCCTCACTTTCTACAGTCACTTCTTAAATCTTGATAACTTACCAGTGGTGGTCTGAGCCCCTGGCCACCACGCCCTTCTCAGGCCAGGGTTGCCTGAGAAGAGCACTTGTCCATTCATGTACAATCATCAAAGAATATCAAGAGGAGCCAAACCGGTTTGGCTCAGTGGATAGAGCATCGGCCTGCGGACGATTCCGGTCAAGGGCATGTACCTTGGTTGCGGGCACATCCCCAGTGGGAGGTGTGCAGGAGGCAGCTGGTTGATGTTTCTCTCTCATCGATGTTTCTAACTCTCTATCCCTCTCCCTTTCTCTCTGTAAAAAATCAATAAAAATATATTTAAAAAGAAAAAAGAATATCAAGAGGAGCTTAACTAGATCACCTGGGTTCCACACATATTCCTTCCAAACCCCATAGGATAACAATTACCCCACCTCTTCCTGTTGATAGGGTCAACAGTGGCCAGTTATGAGGAATCATATCAGGTACTCAGCATTAATATTTGTACCTTGGCAGTAGCTAAATCAGCATTGGTTAGGGGGAATCTGTACCAGGAGTCAGAAAACTATAGCACCTTGGGCCAAACTGGGCTTACAGCCTGTTTTTGTATGGTCCACATACTAAGAACAGGTTTTTATATTATTAAATGGTTGAAAAAAATAAAAAAGATTAATATTTATCAACTTATGACCTGGCTCCCTTTGGTGAATGTCAGTTTCTTAAAAGTAGAGACTTTGTTTTATTCATGCCAGGACAGTCTTGCCCCACCAAAGTGCAGTAGGTCCTCGGGTTACATCTGAGATCCGTTCCTACGGCGATTTTCACCGTAAGTTGAAACCCACCTACATAAGCACCTACGTCACTCACATGGAGCACATACATAGCAGTAATGAAGTGAAACAGTAAAAAAATTTAAAAGAAAGATAACAATTCC